GCTTTAACAGTGACCTTCAGGTAATCAGCACTATTGGGTTTGGTGTCTCTCATCTCGGTCCTGACAGGACTTGATGGATTCTGTGTGGGGTTCGGGTCCGACCATTTTGTTAACCCATCAGTCACGGTGATGGCGTGGCCATTAAAGCAGGCGTTGGTGTCTTTGTGGGTATGGGCAGATGCCAAGTCCTGCTGGAAAATTTATTCAGCATCACCATTAAGCTTGTCAGCAGAGAGAAACACGAGTCCTTTGGATTATGGACCAAATGAATCGCAGCAAAGCAACACCAGCAGATGACAAGGCTGCTGATATCGTCACTGGGCGAGTTTACATTGATCATAAAATTATGCAAATTGAAAGTACAAAAAGAAATTTGCTTAACGGAAACGAGCCAACTTGGAAAAAACCCTCAAGTTTTACGCTAAAACGTTGTTGCGCTAGATTGTGGTGATTTTTCAGTTATTTCAAAAAAGATTTTGTAAAAATTTTGTAAAACTGCAATAAAAAATACGTTTTTTGCATCACATGAGTCACATGGTCAACAATAGGATGTTACTACTGGTGAAAACGACAAAGAAGATGACAGGAAGTAGTAGAAGGATGATCATTTGTTTCTGTTTTTTCTGACAAAGTGTAGCTGAGCACTCACAGCACTGCACAATTCATAAAAAGTTCATAAAACTCTTCTGTAAAATCATTGGCTACAATTTCCCCAAATCGCTGCAACGGTCAAATCAGACACCGACGTCCTCTCTGATTGGCTGATGGATGATAAGCGACTGAGTTATGAATAAATGTCATGTAACTGTTTACATCTGTCGCTGCCATGATTTTTAATGACTTATCATGTGAAGAAGCTTATTTGGGATTTTAGTTTCATTCCTTATTTAATGGAAACACCACAAGTGTGTTATTTCAATAAAAATACAGACAAGGATTTCAAAGGAAACAGGTATGCGCCGTGGAAACTTCACACTGGACGTCAAGCAACTTTTTCCAATGCACTTTTTACTTCCTCTCGACTCAATACCTACATTGTCATCTGAAAACTATAACAAACCAACTTTTAAATGACAAATTCATCGAGCTGCTCCTGTCATTGAGTGATTGCGCTCGCATCCAAACGTGTTGCGTAAATGCGTTGTTTAAATATGGAGAGGAGAAGAGAGGAGCAGGAGAGGGAGGGGCGGGACTGGGACTGGTGGTAGAGAATGAGTCCAAGGTTAACCAGAAGGACGAGGCTGATACAGAGGGTCAGGCAGAATTTAGATCACAACAACAACAACAAAAAAACAGGAAGATTTAAAGAAAACAAGCTATAAAGACAGATATTTTTGCTGAATCTGATGTAAAAGAGGGCGGTAAGAGAGTTAACATGGAACTCATTCAAGTGCAAAATGCTGGATCTTGAGTAGAAGAGTGTCCAGCTGTACGTCTGGAGGGCCCTCCAGCCTCTGGAGCTCTACTCCACCGAACAAGCATCACCAATTAGTCAATTTCCCCCCGATGCCACTCTGGGGAAAAAAAAAAAAAAATCCTACCTGGACGTGCCAGTCTCCTTTCATCAAGGGGAACAGAGGGGGATTGAAGTAGAAACGGATCAGACAATTCGCCACAGCTTAATTGTAAGAGCTGGGAACTGTGGTCAAGTGTGTAAAGTCCAGTTTGCACACTCATTAAATATGGAAATGTGTTCAAACACATCGCTCTCCTGGGGGGGAGGATACAACACAAATCTGGCAACACGGCCTGGAAAGGATGAGGCCGAGGCTGTGTATCCCCGGAGCACAACGCAGCTCCTTTTTTTTCTGTCTGGAGCGAAATGGTGAGAGAAACGAGAGGAGAAAGACGGGAGGGACGGGAAGCGGACGTTACCGCACCACTTTGAAGAGGCGGGGGGGTGAGAGCCGAGAAAATTTGGAAATCAAGTTGGGAATTAAACATGAGCGATAAAGTGGGGAGGTTGAGGTGGAGGAGAAAGAAGAGGAAGACCAGAGGGGAACGACTCACCTTGTTCTCTGATCAGAGGACAGAATATAGATTAGAGAGGCAGAAGACGGAGAGATGTACGGAGAATAGAAAGCAGTGGGGGAGAGAGGGAGAGAGAGAGGTGAGGGAGTCAGACGGCGCAGGATCATCTCGAACACAGATGCGTGCTGACTCGGCAGGTGGCGGCCAGCGACAGGCTCATTTTGGGTGGCTGAATTATCGATGCCATATGCACACCGCTGGCTTCTCCGCTCTGCCAAACTCCATCGCTTTTTATTCTGTTTATTATCATATCATAAAACGGATTTTTAAAGCCGGGTTTTGTTCAAAACAAGCTGAATTAGCGCGCAAAGTTTACCTGAAGTTTTTTTTCTTCCCTTTACTGCTAATAGTATCCCACTTCTTCAGTTCAAAGGCCTCCATGCTTATGAACAATAGGTGCTCTGTTTAGTCCGCTTCCTCCTGTATCTATAGCTGCTGCTGTGCTAAAGTGGGGGTAGGGGGGGGGAGGGTTATCTATAATAGCTGGAGAGGCGGGCGGTGCACTCCGGACGGACTGCCAGTCAATCACAGGGTCGACTTGAAAAGACAGGCAATTATCGGCAGGCACATCCACACCTACGGGAATTCTGAAGTCAGCAATTAAGCCTAACCTGCGAGTCTTTGTGCTGTGGGAGGAAAATGGAGTCTGCAGAGATAACCCACGCACACTCGGGGAAATTATGCACGCTTCACACAGAAGTACCACACAGCGAGCCTGCAGGTTCTAACCCCGAGGATGCAGAACATATGTTGTGGAGCTGAGGCTCAGAGTCTCCATGAATGGACTGAAGTTCAGCAGACAGGGATGTTGTTGTTTTTCATGCTCATAAAAAGATTTCGAGTCGACATTCCAGACTTTTTCCAAGTGTTTGTGAAGCGCATCCAAAAGATCAGGTGCTGTCCAAAGAAACGGAGCTTCGCTGTAACATCTAATCTGATTGGATACGCAGATGTACAACTACTATATCTGTGTAGTTTATGTCAAAGTTTACAGTTTCACATTTAACCTTTTCATGTCATGTTAGACCCATTTAGTTTTTTTTCTATATTTTTTTTTATAGATTTGATAAAGCAACACAAGGTAGTTCACAATCATAAAGTGTAAAGATAAATGATGCAACACTATCAGATTTTACAAAGAAAAATCTAAAGAGCATGTTGGAGATTTATTTTCAGATCTATCTTTCATAATGCAGTCCTACCCATCATGACTCATCAATTTTCAAGTATTGATACTGATTTTGAACCAGATTCTGGTCAATTCTTTTTTATTTTATTTTTTTCAAAATAAATTTCAGAAATGTATGTTGTGGATTTGTAATCCACCATCTTTTCCACCAGGAGACACTCGGTGCAACCAATCGCCTTCAGAAGTCATTTAGTTCACTGCAGAAACATGAGCTGTGTGATGAGTGAGAGGAATGAACCAACCGTAGAGAGAAAACATTAAAACGTTTACCAGAGGGCAATGCCATGGTAACACACGGTGGTTGTGGCATCATGCTGTGGGTAAGCTTTTCTTCAGCACTGGTTAGAGTCATAAGTAGTTCAAATAGAGGCATATTTGTGTGTTAGGATGGCCCAGTCAAAGTCCAAACCTAAATCCACTTAAGGATCTGCATTGAAACTTAAAGTTAAAGTTCAAACTTATCAGTATTATAATACAGGAAAATGTACGGGGAGCCAGAAGGGTCAAAAATAAATTCAGCGCTAATTCATTAATTAAATGCACCATGAAATAAATGTTTATATAATTTATTTAATAGACAATTGGTTGCAATGACTGCGACAGACTGGCGACCCGTCGAGGGTATTCCCCACTTCTCACCTGAAACGATTGGATAAAGTCGAATTTGGCTCAAAGAATCAAAGACTAGTGGAGTTCACCAGATCAGTGGTAGAACCGCCCGTAACCCCGCCTCTCAGTTCTGACGGCCAAGTTTTACTGATTAACTTATTTTATAGTGACCCTATGAACAGAAACCATTAAATAATTAAATACATATATGCATTTCCTTATCTGCATTGGCTAGTAAGCTTGGATTTTCACAATTCAATCACATATTAAATTTAAATATTTATTTATTTCATGGTACGTTTAATAATGATAACACATCAAACTAGTATAGAGCTTTTTAGGGCACTCAAAGACAATTAATCAACGGTTTCATGATTTATATGTTTAATTTTGTCCCTTTTGGCCCTCCATAGAATGTTGCTGCTGTAATTGTAGCAACAGCCGACTCTTCAATGTATGAATTAGCACACATTTAACATTTTGTTTTTGTTTTTTTTTAATGTCACAACATCTGGCATTTTCTTAGCACTTCATAACTGAGCTGGTGTATCACTTAAAATACCAATTATAATTTTAACAATAGTATTGACATGACACTGGATATTAGGTAATTGTTTTTCCAAAGTGATTTGAATCATTTCCAGAACTCCTTTCTAAGGGCAAATGTCAGAAAAAAAATTAATAAAAATAAAGTCACCTAAAAGTGACGTGAACAACTGGACTTCACAGGCTGTAGCATACAAAAAGTATTCATGTATTGTTTACATCCCATCTGCATGTCGTTTTTAGTCAACCTGATTCTGCTTCTTCAAAATAAAGTGACACTATTTTATAGTAAAACACAGGTACAGTTGAACTAAACATACCAACCCCATAAACAGCAGCATTAAACTGTTGAATATTTACTTCTAGATCAGCAGTCTCTGCACATCCGAAGTCAGAGGCTTCTGCTGAATTGAATGGTCCAAAGGCACCTTCACCGAGTTGATGATATCTAATCAGAGCAGCGATTCGGAAGCCTAACGCCGTTTAAATGCTTAAACAGTAAAAATCCCACAATAGGTCCGTAGAGAGACGGATACCTAGACCTCCCCCTCAATCCGCCCAATGGGCAAGCCAACAATTAGTTTCAAGTGTAGCTTAAAATAAAAAAAAAAGAAGAAGCATGGAGCAGGTACAGCTTTTCCTCCAGACATTTGAGAACTGAGCTGCAAACAGACAACCAGACGTTGCCACATCTCTCTCCATCTTACCCGGTCCCACTGTCTCTCTTTGTTGAGCAGAATAATGACAAGCTTGGGGTGCATCTGGTACCCATCCTCGCTGAACGACAGATTGCGCCCCTCAAATGTCACATTCATCAGGTACCTGCAGAGAGAAACAAGGAGGAGAGGGACAGAGCATCACTTGCTGAAAAACATTGTTGTCGGCGCCAATTTACATATGTCCTAGATACTTACACATCTATTGCTTTGCAATAGATGTGTAAGTATATCGTGTTGAATGGTGTGGTTGCTTTTAAAAAGCCAGAGTCTTTTTTTTTTTTTGACATCTTATACATCTTTGCTCAAAACCGGAATACTTAGACAATGTCAAACAATATTCTTCTCATTTTTATTTCTCTTTCAATTCCAAAATTCTACAGAATAAACGTGTGTATTTCATGTTCACTGCTCTCTCAGTTAAGCAACATTTCCAATCTGACAGTCAATGACTTCACACAACTGAAACGACTCTTAAAAGTTACCAATCGTCTCCTCAAGGTTACAAAACCCTGGACTCTTTACCACCCTCGTCTCATTTACAAAATCACACACTAATTTATAAAAATAAAAAAACACACACACACACACAAAAAAACAACTTGTTTTTTGATCAAAAGTTTGGGTGCTAAGATGAGGTTGCTTTTCGGCCTCATCAAAAATAGATTTATTTCACAAAACTGCAACGGAAACACTTTTTTTGCATCATGAGTCACATGACCAACAACTGGACATTACTACCACTGAAAACCAGTAGTAGCAGGAAGTAGGCAACAGGAAGTGGTTGGAGGACTATGGAGCGGCTTGGTTTTTAATCACTTATCGCGTGAAAAAAACACATTCATGTGTAATTTTAATCTGCGTTTCTTATTTAATGGAAATACGGCAATTGCAAAACTGATTTTTCAACATTAGCAATGGAAACTCAGCTACTGTCCTCTTTTGCTCTGCCGTGAAAAAGTGCTGCTTGACAGACTTGGCCACCAGGTCAGGACTGCACATGTGCAGAAACAATAATCAGCCACAACCAACCATTTCTGAGTCACTATATTTAGTGACTCAGAAATAAACAAAAAAACTAAATTGGAATCATTGCACCCCCTGTTCTCATACCATAGAGTCAGGCTAATTTACTGCATACAATAATCTAAATACTTGAATAGGTTATGCCAAAGAGGAATTATTCTAGAAATATTATTTTCAAGATGATAATGATCCTCAAACACACCATTAAGCATATTGATTCCAGACCCGTTGGAGTAAAATTATGGAGTAGCCAGGCCAATACAAACCCAATGAAGATAATGAAAACAGAGGAACGACCAGTTTGATACAGAAAAACAGGAAACTAGAACTGACCAAACTGGGACACATAAATACTGCCCAGGGACTCATTCGTGTTGTTGTGTGACTTTTTAGACAGTTTAAAGATGTCTCACTTGATTTTCATTTTACTATTGCCCTTACAGTGCGACTCCTAGGAATTCCTACAGGTAGAAAAAGAGCGCAGTGCAATGAACACCATTATTTTATGGACGCTGCATTCTATACTCATCGTTTAAAGCAACGGAGCGGCAATTTCATCACGGCAAACATTTACCGACAGGCCCAGTGGACATCGGCGCGCCCGTGGAGACAAAGCAGCTCGCATTTTGGCGTGTGCACATCTGGGTTTGTATGGGAAAATAAGAAAACCTTATTGCTTCTGCCAAACCAGATCATTTGATCCGTCTGCGAGTGAACGCTGCGCCTTGCGGTGGTTACAGTTGCCGTGAGTGTAGGAGAATTTTCACGTCAGGTGAAATCATCTCTTTCACACACACACGCAAAACATCTTAACCCTTTCAATCTCTCACTCTGCCATCTCCTCCTCACTTTCCCTGTGACTGTTTCCATGGTAACCTTGCATCAAAACCATGCACAAGATACATATGATGATATGGAAAAAAAAGAGAGTAAAATGAGTGGACATGACTGTAAAGTGATTATTTGTAATGCTAATCGGTCCGTCTGTAGCTCGGTGTCTCGTACAATGTGTCTCTGTAATTCGACTTCCTGTATTAAATATTGATATTTTCCAATGGGCTCTTATGATCCGAATCTTCCCGTCTCATGCAGCCCCATGTGTCCGGCTAAGAGCCCCGTCCTGTAGAGTCCTGGCACCGGTACAAAGTGCACAGAATCTGCTGCATAAATCATAAGCCATTTACAAAATGACTCGACGCCACGGCAGCTTTAATCTTTACAGGGGGAAAAAAAGAGAGAGAAAAAGAAACAAGTGATACACGGTGATTCAGGTCTTACATTTAAGCTTGTGTGTGTGTGTGTGTGTGTGTGTGTGTACATTTCAGATAGCAGCGAAACACAAGCATAAGTGTGTTTCCATGGCACCCACAACCACGGTGATTTCTGAGCCAATATGCGGCCGTTGCTGTGGCAACGGTAATCTCACAGAGGGTGGGAATGAGACTAAGTGAGAGGTGGGATTCGGAGGGAAAGAAAGAGGAAGTGGATGGGCGCTTACTACTGGAGCGCACTAGAGGTGGGACATATGGGCTCAAAGTTTTACTATCATATTCTGTTGTTCCATTGTGAAACCATAAAAGTGACAATAAGAACAAATTATTAGGTCTTTTTTTAGGTAAATGTGTGGTTGTGACAGCATCACAGCCCCACAAACACAAATATTTCTCTTGAAAAACATTCCCCTTTGCTTCTTTAGGACACCAGTCGCATAAAGAAGTGTGATTTGTGTCGCTAAGCTGCCCAGTGACTGCATTTAATCAGATTTTCAACTTTATTGACTTTTATCGATACTCTCATTGAACAAACAGTGGAGAAAATCCTGAAAATGCGGACACATTCAGGGGATTTTCATTTATCATGGCAACAACATTATTATGATAAATTTACTATAATAAATAATAAACGCACCTTATGGTCCAGGCCCGTCATGACAACAAAAATTCTTCTGAACGATAAATCGACCCAGAAATTAAACAATAAAGTTGTTTTCAGACCATTTTCAAGTAATGGGAAGTTAAGGGCATAACAACACATCAAGATCAATAAACTTTAAATTCTAATGAGCAGTTATCACTGGAACTGGAAGACATTTAAATATCAAAAATAAAAAAAAATAAAAAAAAAAAACAACAAAGAAAATGAATTCAAAACAAGGAGCTAGTTGAGACCAAATGCCGGAAGACTTTCATCATCCAGTTTTTGGTAGAAAGAGAGACAGAAAACAGTAAATCATGCAAACCATTGAGTTTGTTTTAATTTATCAAGTGATTAATTGATCTGTTTACAGCAACAGGCCTGTGTGGCCACAGACTTCACAGTGAAGCACGGCCTGAACGGAGGGAGGGATTGAAGCAAAGCCGGACCTCGACAGTCTGTCAACTTCACCACAAGAAACGCAGAAAGAAAAGTCCAGTGAAAGCGTTCCTACCGCCTCCTTTAGTCTGAGCTACGAGCTCGCTGCTCATCCTGAGTTCACGCTGTGCGTAAATAAGACAGTAAGAGGAAGCCACACGTCCTCCCACCAATGAGTGTTTTCAAACCCGGCTGAGCCCGTCGGCTCTCCCTGCGGGCCAGCAGAGAGCGCATCCCGGCTGGGCCGTCCCCACCTGGCTCAACCAAAGCCCGCGACAATTCATCCCAATAAATTCTTGAGCAAAACTCGCAAAACAACTGACAAAAACTCATCGGACAACGCAAGCGACGCAAACTTTTCCCGTCCTCGCTGCATGGGCCTGACACAGATAGGTTTCAGCACATGTTCTGCCGTGAATAATGGAGGAGTCGCGTGAAATATTGATAAGTCAGTTTTAATAAATTAACCGCGGCATCAATTAGTCATGAATTACACTCCTTAGCAATTATTGTAGTATCGGATTTGCAAAGAGGGGGAAAAAAATAAATAAAAAAATCAGACGTGAGGGATGATAAAATGACCCATATGGTGTTGTGGCATATTGTGGCTGTGCAGTGTACACACACACACACACACACACACACACACACACACACACACACACACACACACACACACACACACACACACGGGGTGTACAGTGCGAATGGGAGACGAGATGCGAAGTTGTTTCGTGTGTGAACGGGGTTGTACTCTCATGTGTGCATTCATACTAGATGCACAAACACTCTAAAAACACAAAGTTCGTTTAACTTGAGAGGATTCACAGTTCCTCACAAAGGCATGTTGAACTTTTCCACTTTTGTGTCATGTTGCGACCACAAGCTTCAAAAGTATTTCTGTTGGGATTTAATGTGAGAGAGTAACAGACAGTAGCGTGTAATCAAACAAGGTTAAATTTAAGGTTTTACAGGTAAAGATCTGAAAAGTGTGGCTTGCATGTTGCACTCCTCTGTGCCAACAGGCTACTTCTAAAATCGATTTGTGTTGAACTTTCACCAGCTTTGCTCAGGTTTTTACCCATTAGCTCAAGCTCAGTCCGGTTGTTATATATGTAATAATCAGATTTTAGGACTTGATATAGAGTTTCAATTGGATCTAGATCTGTGCTTTGACTGGGCCATTCTGGCATATGAAAATGCCCTGCTGGAATCTGAACATCTCTATGCCCAGTGTTTAGCTCCACCAATCTTCCCACCAACTCTGATCATGTTTATTGTCCTTGATAAAAAAAAAGAAAGCTTTAACTGCATGATGCTGCCACCACCATGCTACATGTCTTGTGGCTAATTTGAAACAACAAATCTGCTACTTTTGCATAAAGAAGAGATTTGAATCTTTGAGATTTTTGGATTGAGCTTGTTGCACTTGACTTTATTTTGGGGCTTCAGACTAAAGGAGGACGAATACAAATTCATGCCACACTTTTCAGATTTTAGACGGCAAACACCGTAAAAAACATTCATCGTTTTCCACACATTTTAAGGTTAAGCATTTGTTTTATCACCTGAAATACAAATAAAATAGAAGATTCTTTACTTTTGTAAGGCATTAGTCATGGCTACATTTACAACCAAAAACAAAACCATACTTCTATTTTGTTTTGTTCATAATTTTAACAAGGCAGAGCCCAAAAACAGCAGAGCAGCTACTACAACCGAGACAAG